AGGGATATGGGCCAAATGCTGGCAAATGGAACTAAATTAATTTAGGATATTTAGTCAGCACTGATGAGTTGGAGTGAAGGGTCTGTTTCTGTGTTGTACAGTTCTATAACTCTGTAATGCTGGACTTTTTAATTTCTCTATTTTTCTCATTTGTTTGTCCCTGAGAATTCACGCTGAAGATTCTGTACTTAGATGTACCTTTGTACCTGAGGTGGTGCCATAAGGGGCAACTTGTAAACTTCTCACTGCACTCATGTGGCAACAAATCTCATTCAACTCAGGATTAGCGTACCTGTAGTGAACAAAAACACAAATTTAAGGAGGAGAGGTTTGCTAAGGGTGAGATCTGGCTGTTCTGGTTGAAAAACCAGTTTTTCCGGTTACTGACACAGACCATCACAGGGACGTTCACATGGTATCAGCACAGTGAAGATTCTAGCGACCATACCTATCAAAAACACACAATGACTTTCCCCTTAACAGTGTCAGAAAGTTTGGGTTCTAAGGCTGTCTTTATTCATTTCTGGGATGTGGATGTTGCTGTCTGGGCCCAGCATTTATTACCCCATCCCTAGTTGCCCCCCCTTGAGAAGGTGGGGGTGAGCTTCCTCTTGAACTGCTGCAGTCCATGTGCTGTAGGGTTGACCCGCAATGCCCCTTAGGGAGGGAAATCCAGGATTCTGACCCAGCGACACTGAAGCAACAGGGATATATTTCCAAGTCAGGATGGGGAGGGGCTCGGAGGGGAACTTGCAGGGGGTGGTGTTCCCATGTATCTGCTGCCCCTTGTCCTTCTGGATGGAAGTGGCCGTGGGTTTGGAAGGTGCTGCCTGAGGATCTTTGATGAATTTCTGCAGCGCATCTTGTAGATGGTACACACTGCTGCGACTGAGCGTTGGTGGGGGAGGGAGTGGGATGTTTGTGGATGTGGGGCCAATCGAGCAGGGGCTGCTTTGCCCTGGATGGTGTCGAGCTTCTTGAGTGTTGTTGGAGCTGCCCCCATCCGGGGCAAGTGGGGAGTATTCCATCACACTCCTGACTTGTGCCTTGTCGATGGTGGGACAGGCTTTGGGGGGAGTCAGGAGGGGAGTTACTCGCTGCAGGATTCCCAGCCTCTGACCTGCTCCTGTAGTCGCTGTGTTTATGTGGTGGGTCCAGTTGAGTTTCTGGTCGATGATAACCCCCAGGAAGCCCATGTGCCCCAATGCCCTTAGGTAGGGAACAAGCAACAATACAGCACAGGAACAGGCCCTTCGGCCCTCCAATCCTGCGCCAACACATTTTGCCCTTCCATACTAAAACTGTTTCCACTTACATGATCCGTATCCCTCTATTCCCTTCCTATTTATGCATTTATCCAGGTGCTTCTTGAATGTTGCTATTGTGTCTGCTTCCACCAGCTCCTCTGGCAACGTGTTTCAGGTACTCACCACCCTTTGTGTGAAAAACCTGCCTCACACATCCCTTTTAAACATCCCCCTGCACCCTGAACCTGTGTCCCCTAGTAATTAACCCCTCTGCCCCGGGGAAAAAGCCTCCACTCTGTCCATGCCCTTCACAATCTTATAAACTTCTATCAGGTCGCCCCTCAACCTCCTGCATTCCAATGAAAACAAAACAAGTCTAGCCAACTTTTCTCCACGGCTAAAATCCCCCCCCATACCAGGCAACATCCTGGTTAACCTCTCCAAAGCATCCACATCCTTCTGGTAGCGTACTGTACATGGTAAGGGAGTTTCCAGGATTTTGACCCAGCGACAGTGAAGGAAGGGCTGCCCTCTGAAATGACACAAGCGAGATGGATAGTTCAAGGGACAAGGTTCAGATGACAAGAGCTGGCCATGGAAGGAGGAAGGAAAGAGGTGCAAATCTCTGGAGGGACTGTCCCAGAGGATAGTGAGCTGGAGCGTCAAACAATCATTGTATTCATTTATGACCTGCCCCCTGGCGCAGAGAGAAAACCACAGATTCAAATTTGCCAGTCATACAATGCTGGTGTTTTACTTTTTTGGAACAGTTTTATAAGGAAGTTGGACACAGCAAAGGACCATTAATCATTTTGGTCCAAAGTTGCCGCATTTCCCGCTCAGGGAATGTGTCTGACAATGGGCAGAGGCGAGGAGTTGCTAAATTGCAAAAAGAAAACATAAGCTGAATCAGTGAGCCAAAGGGATCCAGGTTTATATGTCATTAAAACATTACCGAGCGGCTCAGAAAGCAATCAGAAATCTCAACTGGATCACTGGATCTCTCTCTGAGGTACAGAGGGGTGCTTTCCACAGATTCCTGAAGAAGGCAGGGCAGCTCTTTGGAGTAGTTAAGAAGGCACCTAAGAGGTGTGCCTTTACCTGTTTTTAAGAGCGGGGAAGCGATGTTGGAGCTGTACAGGGCTTTGGTGAGATCACAGCTGGAGTACTGTGTGCAGTTCTGTTCTCCATGCTATAGGAAGGATATGATTACACTGGAGGGGGTGTAAAGGAAGATTCACCAGGATGTTGCCTGGGTTGGAGCATTTCAGCGATGAAGAGTGGCTGGATAAGCTCAGGTTGAGAGGGGGACCTGATAGAGGTTTGTAAGACTATGAGGGTCATGGACAGGGTGAGCAAGCATCTGCTCCCTGTAGTCAAAGGGTGAATAACAAGGGGGTAAACTTTTAAGTTGGAGGTCAGTAGGTTCTGAGGGGGATTTGAGGAACAACCTTTTCAAGCAGAGGGTGGTGGGGGTCTGGAATGTATTGTATGGGAGGGTAGTTGAGGTGGGAAACCTCACAATCTTTAAAAAGCACCCAGATAAGCAGTTGGGAATGTCATAACATTTATAGGCTATGGGTCTTGAATATGAGAAAGTGGGACTGCGTAAGTTGTAGAATATTTTTGAGTGTTAATTCAATGGACTGTAGGACCTCTTTTGTCCTATAACTAGATTTACTGAGTCCAATTCTGTTCACCCTGCTACACAGGAAGGATGTTATTAAACCTGACAGGGTGCATTAAAGATTTACAAAGATGTTACCAACATTGGAGGGTTTGAGTTATAAGGAGAGGCTGGGGCTTTTTTCCCTGGAGCGTCGGAGGCTGAGGGGTGACCTTATACAGGTTTAGGAGCATGGATGGGGTGAATAGCCAAGGTCTTTTCCCCAGGGTAGGGGAGTCCAAAATTGGAGGGGCATAAGTTTAAGGTGAGAGGGGAAAGATTTAAAAGGGACTTGAGGGGCAACTTTTTCACACAGAGGGTGGTGCGTGTATGGAATGAGCTGCCAGAGGAAGTGGTGGAGGCTGGTACAAATACTACATTTAAAAGGCATCTGTATATGAGTAAGTATATGAGTAGGTTATGAGTAGGAAGGGTTGAGATATGGGCCAAATGCTGGCAAATGGGACTAGATTAATTTAGGAAACTTGGTTAGCACGGGCATGTTGGGCCGAAGGGTCTGTTTCCGTGTTGTATAACTCTATGACCCCAGCGATATAAAGCCCTGGTTAGAGCTTAAGTTTCTGGGAACAGTTCTGGGAATGCCATCTTCAGGAAGGGCATAATGGTCTTGGAGGGAGAAACCAGAATTTTCCAAGAACTGCGAGGGTTAAATCATGGGACCGATTCCACAAACTCAAATTTATTTGGCGTCAGGATCATTTGACTGAAGGTTTCAAAATATTCCTGTGAACGCCCAGGGACCAGTGGAGAGAAATGACTTGGGGAGGTGTGGAAAAGACTCAAGACTGGGGCCAGATTTCGCGGGAATCAACCTCGGATACACGTCCTCACGAAGGCCAGAAGAACTTTGGGAATGTCCCCCGCGATCAACACTGTTGGGGGGGCGGTGGTCAATGATTAATTTCTGAAAGGGAGATTTCGGTGAATCAAGGTTCTTCATGGCTGTAGGGTAAGGGGACAGGTCAGGATCGATCTCTACGAATGACAGAACAGGAGATGGGGCTAAATGACCTCCTCCCACAGAGAAGGAGGGGAGGTGGGGCCAGGGAAGCATCAGAAAACAGGAGTAGGAGTAGGCTATTCTCATCGCCAACCAGCCCCACCCAATTCTTCCAAACTCCAGTGAACATCATCCGGTCTCTCTTCATCAGTCAGTCCTGCACTCACTCCATCGCCAGAACCTCCTTCCTCAGATAAGGAGACCTTAAACTGTGCGCACACAATACTCCAGGAGGGTGGTCTCACCCTGTCCAATGTCAGCTAGTATTATCCTGACCAGGCCTGTCTCTCTTTACACATCCGTCCTGCTAACCCAGGACTCGATAGCCCAGCGAGGAAATCCTATTCATTCAGGGCTGGAGAAGCTCGATGGGAAATTTCTCTCCCGGGATGAAGAGATTTTTCGTTTCATGGGGATGATTTATCATCGCGCGTGCTCTGCAATGACCAACATGGTAAACAGACACAGTGAAAAGCTTCACCCATCGTCATAAACCAGAGCCGTTCGAATACCTCGAGAATGAAAGGTCAAGGCTGAAACAGCATCCATCTTCGCTCCTTCGCCTCCACCATGAGGCCTGAGCCAGCTGACCAATCACGCCCATGCTAGACCCACCGCTGTTGGAGTTGGCGCTCTTCAGGCACCATCTCTGCGTCGCTAGGCCCACAGTGCTGGAACCACACTCGCCAAGCAACCAGGAATCCCAGGCTCCAGGCCTACCACAACCAGGAAGCCCAGGCTCTGGGCCCACCACAACCAGGAGTCCCAGAGCCCAGGCCCACCACAACCAGGAGTCCCAGGGCCCGGGCCTACCTCAACCAGGAGTTCCAGACGCTGGGCCTATCTCAACCAAGAGTCTCTGGCTCCAGCACCAGGCCACGACACTTCGCCAAGAGTCCTTCTCCAGCCGCTCCCCTCTGCTGTGTCACCCCTTTCCGCTGCCATCTTGAAATTCCATCCGGAGTCCGAGTTTTGCAGACAGGGGGGTCAGACGCAGACCTTAGTGGGAGGGATCGAGAAGAGTTTCGAGGGGCCGAGCGGTAACCAGTCAGGCGGACAGTGCGGGTAACCACGTGGAAATTCGTTTTGACCGCCGGGGGTGACAAATATTTACAGTGATCAGCCCCGTGGAAAATGTGAGTCATACGATTGTGGTTAGCTTCTCAATCTGGCTTGTCAAGTCTCACTCCAGCATCAATGAAAGCTACCGTCTCCGACTGGCAGGAGAAAATATTTGAATCTGATTTACCTCCACCCCAGTCCCCGCCCCCTACTTCCTCATCGTCTCAGCCCGCTCGCCCACAGCCGGGATTAGTTTGCAGCCTCCTGACTGACCTCGAAGACCTCCACAAGTCAACAGCGATGTCGGGTAGCCTCAAGGCTTCGCGACGGTAGCCTCATCACTCCGATTCACGGGTAGGTGCCAGGAGGAGGTGGGTGGCTATCACAATGCGCAGAGACTTCACGACGGCGTCGACGGGGAAGCCGGCGGGGGGGTGGGGGGGTTGGAGGCAGGAGGGTCGGTCTCCCCGCGCCCCTGGCAATGGAAAGGATTCGGAAGGGGAGGAGGGGGTTAGGAAGGAGGGAGGGAGAAGAGGAGTAAATATATTTTGGTCAGCACAGCGAGTTGTTTATGTTGTTGTTGTAGTAATCTGGGACGGCAAGGTCGAACTGCAGCTTTGGAAAACGGGACAGTTTCGGAGAAATTGGGGGAAAGGGGTTGAAACTGTGCAGAGGTTTGGTGCGGGTGTGAAGGATAGGAGAAAGACAGAGGGAAGCGATTGGAAGAAAGGGGACTGAAATAGAGAGTACTACGATAGTTACAAAAGGTCAAACGCACACCTCATGAGCGGGGCATGCCAGCATTGTGTAATTTTACGACCCTTCAGCTCTCGGCGTTTCAAAAACTAATCTTTATTAACCTACTTCTCTAACCAAGCTGTTCAGTGAAGTCATTAAACCACTGGAGCAGAGGGGAGGTGAACACGGGACTCCAGGTCCAGGGGTAGGGACATTACCACGGTGCCAGAGATGCTTCGTTCAGCATCTGCCCTCACCATCAGTCTCTCTCTCTCTCTCTCTTGCTTATCATCTCTCACAGAAGCTGCATTTTCCATTAAGTCAGTGACACGCTGTCAGAGGGTGAGTGGTGAGGGAGCAGGCACTGTCGGAGGGTCAGTGCTGAGGGAGCGGGCACTGTCGGAGGG